TCTAAAAAATATTTATCTTGTTATTTTCAATACTAAGAAAGCAAAAGTAAGTTAAGTATCTGCTAAGTGGACACAGTTGAAATAATTTAGCTTTTAGTAAAAATAGAATTCTGAGCAGTCATTGGGATATGAGATGGATCTGTAGTTTTTATCATGGTATGGCAGTTTTATCATATTCTTAGGCGAAAAAGTTTGTATGTTTATCCATACATATGCACACATGTTCTCTATCTTCAAACTACAGCCACTGCAACCACATACACAACACATATTGTAATCTTGTTCTTAAAAATACTCAAAAGTAAAGATTTTTTACAAAATCTTTCAACAAATAATTGTTATTTGCAAACAATCCTGTGTTGGGTCAAAATTATACTACCCTTTCTCCCTTTGAAGAAGTTTCCCTACAGTTTATATGTGGAGACAGAAAAGCAGCTCTCTCTGTTAACCTTCATCAGCTGTTTAGAAGCTGAGACCCAAAGACGTGGTTGTAACTATGTTTAAACACATTTCCTGATTTTACCTTTCCAAGTTTATAGAATACTTCCTTAACATTGTTGCTCATCATAATTAAACATCTTGGAAAATCAGAGAAAGAACTGTTTTGATAATGTCCACTGACATGTGTCATCCCAAACTTTTCCCTCATGTCTAACCTTTCAGTCACTGTGGAAGGAAGACTCCTTCTGTTTCTACACGTGAGCAAATGCCTCCTTACGGGATTTACCTTCTGCTTGCTCCCAAGAAGGAATTTTATAAAGAATCTAACAAAAGCCAATGACATTTCTTTAAATAAACCATAATTTTAAATTTAAGTACAGTTTTTTCCCCGTTTCTCCCTTAACATGCAATTCTATTGTGAGCTTGTAAAAGTCACCTACTTTTGTTGACCTTCAGTTTCCACTGCAACTCTTCAAATCTCAGACGCTCAGAAAAAAATTTTAAAAAATCAGAATTTGTACTTTAGAGTGCTAAGTTTTCTAAAATGAAATGGCTTGCATTCATTTATAACACAAATATTTATTGAGAAGATATTCTCTAGCAGGAAAATTACTAGATACTTGGAATGCATCACAGAACAAATTAAAGATCCCTGTTTTTGCTTATATAATGAATAAAATTTAATACAATCAAATAAGCTTAAAGGACTGATAAAAGAAAAAAATATATAAAGCCACTCAGGATAATCTGAGTTGAAGCTACAAGTATTATTTGTTATCTTCATATTCTTAGCAAACTGTATAAAACAAAAGAATATAGTTAAACAGAAACATTAGGCGTTTTCTTGGCCATTGAGTGTCTGGGATTTAGAAGGAAGCACACAGTGAAATGTTTTATGAGTGTGACATGACCATGGTTGTTATTTAATTTTAAGAAGAGCTACTCTTAACACAACTCTAACTGTGAAAAATTATTAAATAAGAATGCATCTGGTTTCATCTTATTATTTATGTGTGAATCAGTCTATTGCTTTAGCTAAATAATCTATCAATGACATGAAATAAACTATTATTACAATTGTCTCGTCTTACCTGCATAAACTTCTTTGTAGAGTCAGCCTCTCTTGTTTCAAGCATTATGTTTTCACGTAGTTGTTAGCACTTTTAGCACACATCATTTAGAGTCTGTCGTCTAATTGGTGAGGATGTTCTGTAACTTTCTGGGCAGAAAAGTTCTGCATTTTCTTCTCCATGATAAATAATTTCCTAATTATTTTCACTTTCGCTGACTACTCCTTCTTGTCTGAAATCATTCTGGATATTTAATAAAGTTGTTAATAAAGTATTTAATAAGTAAGCTTTATGCTTTCTACTATTAGAATTTTATATTATAAACTATAAATATTTATTTATTGTATAAATAAATCTGCCGAAGCAAGAGTTGAGTTAATTTTATGTCCGTGTTCCTCACCTGCAAAAAAACTCCATAGGGGATCTGATTACCCTTCAACATGGGCCACCAGGTCCTTGGCAGATCAGCCTTGCTGGCATCCAAAAGAAAATGAACACGGGTTTTATCAGCATGTTGTCCCTGGAGGGACCTTTGTCTCCAGGTTGTTATTAGAATCAACAAGCTGGGAGTTGCACATTGTGCCACATGCTTCTCTCCTTTGAAAATTATTCATCAATGAATACCAAGGTTTGATACCAAAACACCTTCAGAAGTCAGATGACATGGTTTCCTGGGGCCCCATCTGCTTCCTGCTTGAGACAATAATGTGTTCTGAACATCAGCTTCCCATGGGACTAATTCTTTCCTAAGTACTTCGTAAGACTCTGTGAGACTCAGACTCAAAACTGGATAATATAGTAAAATACGTTTTAAAAATGGGGACAGTTTTCTCTTCATCTTTTCCTCATCATCTGGAATAGCACATGCCATGCTGCAAGTATGCAACTGATAAAATTAAAATTAGTCTTAAGTTATAACTTCCGGTTTTCATTTCTGAGTTAATATATTAATTTTAACAAAGAGGAAAATCTGATAACCACAAATTACTTTATATAGGGATTTGGTAACGTGACTGGAGAAAAACCCCTGATCATTCCCTTTAAGGGTGAGACCACTCTTATATGTGAGGGCAGTGGCCACCACCATATGTATGATGAGATTTAAATTTTTAAAAATTGTATTAAAGTTGAGAAAACAACAGAAATGTACACTCATCAGAAGTGGCAAGATTGCGATTGCAAAGTGAACACATCTGTGTAACCACTTTGAATTTGTTGTATAGACTCTTCTTTTTTTTTTTTTTTTGAGTTGGAGTCTCACTCTGTCTCCCAGACTGGAGTGCAGTGGCCGCTCCTGGCCACAACAGCCTCGACCTGCTGGGCTCCGGCGATCCTTCCGTCTCAGCCTTCCAAGTAGCCGGAATTACAGGCATGTGCTACCATGCCCGGTTGATTTTTTGATTTATTGTAGAGATGAGGTCTTGCTGCCTAGGCGGGTCTCAAATCCGCGGGCTCAGGCAATCCACTCACCTCAGCCTCCCAAAGGCACGGGATTACAGGCTGAGCCACTGAGCCAGGCTTAGACTATTAACAATACCAGAGAAATTCCCTTCTTCCATGTCCCAATCATTAATACCTATGATATCTCTAGTGTCTAAATGCACTTCATTTACTTTTTGTTCTTCAGGTACGTTTGAAATATCTATAATGTGGGAGTTAAGTGCACTTGTTAAATGTATAAAGGATTAATCTGGGAAATGCAAGAATAAAAGCCCTACATATTCATATGTAGCAACTGAGGAAATGGGAAAGAAAACACAAATGTCTCAAGTAGAGCAAAAATGCAAAGTGATTACAGTAATTTTTTGCGCCAAAGAAGATCAACAAGATGTTAGCAAAGGTAGGAGGAAAGAGAAGGGGGCGGGGGAAAGTGTTAGAGCAGATAGAAAGGAATTAAAAGGGAATGGAATTGAAATGAATAACACTAAAGATATTTCATAAATGAATCTTGGTCTGTTTTTACACTCTGAAGGAATTCATCTCTCCAGGCATTCTTCCATCAATTTTTATGTGTTTGTTTGATTTCAGCATAAAGATTAAATTATTAGGACTCTTCTGAGGCAAAACCAACCTAATGATTAGCAGCCCAAAGGGAGCATTCATTACCATCAACACTGATGGTTGATGGAGGAAATGGTGTCCCCCCTCTGTCTTTATGTTGACAATGGAATAATTAAAGACTGAGTAACCTTTGCTTGGTCTTTGTCAACTATGTAACCACTCAAAAGTATGTCCAACATCTTTTAAACCTTTCATCGACAGAGAAAATAAATACCAGGTGAATCAATACTTCTTTCTTATTTTTCATATTTCAGGATCTAAAAGGAAGAAGTAAAAGCTAAATAAATGAATGGTGGGAGGGTCTATCACATCTTTGTGAATGGTCTATTAAAGTTGTACACATATCAAAACCTACTCATTAAAAAATAAAGAAACACTTGCTTACTGGCTTACTAATGGAGAGGTTGAAAATAAGACAGTTGCACAATATAATCCTAGGGAGCTAAGTTAGCTATTGAAATGTCTTGATTTATTCATTCTGAGTTTTTCTATTGCAACTTTATTAAAACATAAATAGAAGTTTTTTTCAGGTTTGTAGCAACATTGCAATCTTGTTTTTAAATTAAATTCAATTTAATTATTTTTATTTTAAAGATGTGGAGTACAATTCAGGTTAGGTATACAAATGTTCATTATGCAGTTACCTTTATTGATGAGGTGTGTCCCTCCCTTCCCTGGAAGTTTCCTTCAGTTGCCATTCCCACACTCCTTCCCCTGGCAGTTTCCCACTGCTGCCAATCCCTTTCTTATAGCATTATGATAATTAGCAACATTACAATCTTAATGGCAGAGTTAATTTTGAATCATTCGATGTTTATTAATTCCAAGTCATATATTAGACTATGTGTGAATAAAGGCAAGTTATTTACAATACAATTTCAGAAGTAAGAAAATAACGACATTCATAAAACATGATTAAAAATATAGAACCCCAAATGCAAGTATATCATCTACACAAGAGTTTCCTAAATACATGTAACACTGCTACACTATTAGCATTAGAAAATATTTTACATGTATTGAATGTTTGAAATTAAATCAACAAGGACGTGGCAGATAATCCTTGCAATTTTCATTCAAAATGTGGCTAGCAGTGCAGATTCAAAAGACATGTGACTACAGGTAGCATATAAACATATCATTAGGGCACTTCAAGGGATGTTTGGCTTGGAATGATCTAAGTGCCACTCGACTGAGAATGCTGCCTGAAACGTGTTTATTGAGGAATACAGCCAAGCAAGTGGCAGAGATGTTGGCAGCCTTTGGCTGTAGTTCTGAAATAATGCTTGCAACAGGATGATTTTTCCTGTTGATCATTTTAGATTGCTTAAGTGATACTGAAACTTCTTTAGAATCAAGAGCATATTTTCTGAAAAGGCCATACCATTGGCCACAGCAGCAGGGATGTTCGCACTAGGCACCCTCCCCCTAATATTTCCTAGACGCATTGCCCACTGTAATTCTTTGGAAGGAAATGCATCTCTCCAGTGCTTTCCTCAGAGCCGCAGCCACATCTTTATTCCTCAAGCTGTAGATAATAGGGTTGAGCATGGGAGTGAGGATGGTGTAGAAGGCAGACACAATTTTATCTTTTTCTGGCGTGTGATAGGAGTGGGGCAGCACGTTGGTATAGAAGGCAGCCCCATAGAAAATGCTTACCACCATAATATGGGAGGAACAGGTAGCAAAGGCTTTGCGCCGGCCCTCAGCAGAGTTCATCCTGTGGACAGTGAGGAGGATGTGTGTGTAGGAGACAGAGATGATGGATATTGGAATGAGCAACATCAGCACACAGCAAGCGTACATCAAGGTCTCATAGAGGGACGTGTCTGAACATGACAACCTTAGCACGGCTGGGATCTCACAGAAAAAGTGATTGATTTCTCGGGACCCACAGTAGGGGAAACTCATAGTGACAGGAGTAAGCATGAATCCATCCAAGGAGCCACCAACCCAGGAGCCCACCACCATGAACAGGCAAACCCTACGGTTCATGAGGAGAGAGTACCGTAGAGGGTTGCACACAGCCACGTACCGGTCATAAGCCATGAGTCCCAGAAGGAAGAATTCCCCTCCAATCAAGGTCAAGTAGAGGAAGATCTGCAATGCACAGCCCAGGAAGGAAATGGTCTTCTCCTTGGACAGGATGTCCTGGAGCATTTTGGGGACAGTGATGCAGATATAGACAGTGTCCATGATGGAGAGCTGGCTGAGCAAGAAGTACATGGGTGTGTGGAGGCGGGAGTCCATACGGATGAGCAGAATCATGACCACATTGGCTGTGACAGCCACCACAAAGATGGAGAAGACTGCTGCAAAGATAATCCCAGGGAAGGCGGGACAGGTGATGAGGCCCATGAGGATGAAGTCTGTGGAGTTGTGGAGAATAGCCTTCATGATCATGTCACATGGTAACTCCTTGGGCTGTAAAGGAAGAAAGCTAGTAAGTTAATTAATAAACCAATATTTTAAAAAGGCCCACCAGGAATGTTATGTCAGAAGGAGTGTGGGATAATGGAAAGAACATCAATTTCAGAATCATTTGGAATCCATTGGACAGATAAACTAATCTCTAAACGAACTCAATTTCACCATCTGTGAAAGGTTGACATAGGTCTGTACTCCAAAGACTGGATGTAAGATGTAACTATAGTAATTCATGCAGTACTTCTTTTAGAATCTGTTTTATTTTATTTTATTTTTTTGAGTTGGAGTCTCACTCAGTCACCCAGACTGGAGTGCAGTGGCCGCTTCCGGCGACCGCAGCCACGCTTGCTGGGCTCCAGCGATCCCTCCGCTTCAGCCTTCCGAGTAGCCGGAACTACAGGCGCGCGCTACCACGCCCAGCTGATTTTTTGATTTATTGTAGAGATGAGGTCTCACTGCCCAGGCGGGTCTCGAACCAGTGGGCTCAGGCAATCCACTCACCTCAGCCTCCCAAAGGCGCGGGATTACAGGCTGAGCCACCGAGCCCGGCGAATCTGTTTTATTTTTACTTTGAATCATCTTTTGAATGCATTTTATAATCTTATCCCTTTAGATTGAAAGTTTCCTGAGGGTAGCAACTGTGCCTCTCTCCCCATTTTGCCTTTCAACAAACATAAACGAGTTGATTGAATTTGAATTGCTCTCTATTAGGATGATTACATGGTTAAGATCCTACACAGACATCTATTTTGTGACTTAAGAAATTGATAGAAAATACCCATGAAGTCAATAAATCAAGATGACTTTAACTTTTTGACTGCTGTTACTACTAAACGGCTTTATGAAAGTTTGAAACATGAAGACCATTCTATTAACTTCATTTGAGGGTCAGGGTCCATGCTGTCTTGTGGCTAGATACTGTGCTGCAAAAGGAGTTCATGCTTTGGATATGGATTACTTTATCATTTGCATCAATTTGTTTTCACAGGATAATTTAGGGATCAGAAATTCTGAATGAAGACCCATACAAGCTCTGATTTATAATCAAGGATTTAAGTTTATTATTATGGTGGTCTTTCTGGTTGACATAATGAATTTTGCTAAATATTTTATGACTAAGAGCTGCATCATATAATTCAATGTTGACCCAAGCTTCTCTTAAATTATTGTTCAACCAAAATGTTAACAGGGTTTTTCTGACATGGTAGCACTCTGAACCTATCATAATGTTATGTTATCTCAGGAATCCATTGCTAATTGAGTCTTCTCTCCTTTTATTTATTTCTTGACCATGTTACTGATCATTCATGTTTATAAATAAAAGTAACTACAAATGGTGAAGAAATTCCTGAATTCAGAGGGGGAAAGTCATAGCACTATCAAAACTTCCTTGAGTGAAATGGAATAAATTCTCACTATTTTTTCTTTAGTAATATAAATATGCATCTCTTTTGTGTGTTTGGGGTTATTGCTGGATGAATTGTTCATTATTATTATTATTATTATTATTATTATTATTATTATTATTATATTGTAATATGCCTCGCCCTATTTCAGTGACAGGAATATGAAAAAGTATATTTCTGTAATAGGTTTTGAACTCCAATGCTGTAACTATGCTTGGATATTTTGGCTCCACAATAATCAAATACATAATATCTGAAACATCAAGAAGGAATAGTCACCTTCTGTTGAGTCAAAAACAATAGGAGCAAGACAGATTTTTCCTTCTTAGTGTTCATCAGAGAGCAGAAAGAGATTGGAAGCATTTTCCTTGAAAACTGGAATAAGACAAGGTTGCCCACTCTCACCCCTCCTGTTCACCATAGTGTTGGAAGTCCTAGCTAGAGCAATCAGACAAGAGAAGGAAATCAGGGGTATTCAGATAGAAAAAGAGGAAGTTAAGTTATCCCTGTTTGCTGATGATATGACCCTATACCTTGAAAATCCAAGATAATCTGTCAAAAACCTGCTTAAACTGATAAGGACTTGGCAAATTTTCAGGGAACAAAAGAAATATGCAAAAGGCAGTCACATTCTTTTATATATATATTATTTTAAAGATGTGTGGTACAATCTTTAAAATAAAGATAATATATAAAAATCAGGGTTAGGTACATAAGTGATCATTGTGCAGGCACAGTTTGGGTACCCCTATTGATGGTATTTGCTTCTTCCATTCCATCTCCCCTGGCAGCGTCCCACTACTGCCAATCTCTTTCTTATAGTATTATGATGAATGTTCAGGGTCTGATTATGAGTGAGTTCCTGTAGTACTGAGATCTTTGTGTCTGTGATAAACAGAATAGTATAGTCTCTAAATCCATTTAACTTGCTGCAAAGTCCAAAGTTTTGTTTTTCTGTATGTCTGTGTAATATTCTTATGCACCAACAACAAACAGACAGAGAACCAAATAAGAAGCACAATCCCATTCACAATAGTTACACACACAAAAAGTGAAATATCTTAGCATCTTTCTAACCAGAGAAATTTAAGATTTTTACAATAATAACTTCAAAGCACTGCTCAAAGAAGTCAAAGAAGACACAAACAAATGGAAAAATATTCCATGTGCATGGATAGGAAGAATCAACATTGTTAAGATGTCCATCCTACCAAAGGTAGTCTATAGATTCAGTGAAATGCCAATTAAATTACCAACATTATTTTTCTCAGACCTGGAAATAACAATACAGAAATTCATATGGAAACATAAGCGACCACAAAACAATCCTCAGCAAAAAACCCCTAAGAAACCTCCCCCCAAACAACAAAAAACCCCCAACAAAGCAAGAAGTACTGCATTTCCAGTCTTTAGACATTACTATAAGGCTATAATAATCAAAACAGCCTGGTATTGGTACAAGAAAAGGCATATAGACCAATGGATCAGGACAGAGATTCTGAAAGCAAAACCTCAATTTCCCAAGCAACTCATCTTCAACAAAGTCTCCATCTACAACCGTTGCAGAGAGGACCTATTCAATAAATGGTGCTGGGAAAACTGGTTGACCACATGCAGAAGACTGAAACAGAACCTCTGCCTATCACGATACAAAAAAATCAACTCTAAATGGATAAAAGACCTAAACATAAAACCTCACACTATAAGGAACTATAGAAAACACAAGAGACACCCTATGGAAATCAGAATAGGCAACCAGTTCCTGATCAAAACCCCAGATGTCCATGCCATAAGAAATAAGATAGATGAGTGGGACATCATTAAACTGAAAAACTTCTGCAGAGCAAACTAAAACATCAAGAGAGTAGGGAGACAGCCCACTGAATGGGAAAAAATATTTGCAAACGGTATATCTAACAAAGGTCAAACATCCAGGAGCTACAACCATCTCAAACTTGCTGAAAGGAAAAGCAAGCAAACAAACAAACAGACCCATTAAAAAGTGGGCAAAATGCATGAATATACACTTCACAAAAGAAGACATACGGGCATCCAACAGACACATGGAAAAATGTTCAACATCACTAATCATCAGAGAAATGCAAATTATAACCACATAGGGATGCCACCTAACCCTGGTAAGTATAGCCATCATTAATAAAACAAAAAACAACAGATGCTAATCAGGATGCAGAGAAAAGGGAACTCTTTTATACTGTTGGTGGGAATGAGACAACTTTTATGGAAATCAGTGTGGTGATTTCTAAAAAGTACTAGAAATTGCCCTTCTATACGGCCCATAATCCCCCTAATAGAAATGTACTCAGAAGAACTCAAATAATTCTACCAAAAAGATACCTGCACATGCATGTTTATTGCAGCACTATTCACAGTAATGTTTTTAAAGGGAAGGGTTTTCCACTGCCTTCTTAATGACGCAATGCCTCAATGGCAAACATATTCTGTGTTCAAGGCACTGTATCTAGTATTGTGTGAACTCCAAAGATTAGCAGCAACTGACACTACTCTTAAAGCGTATACAATACAGCTTGAGAAATGTAACATATCCAAAATATGTAAAAAAGCAGACTATAACAATGGAGGTTTCCAGAGAATAAACAATATATTATGTTGGGGACTTTTAAAGATGTTTACAACAGAAATAGCATGAGCGTAGCAGCTCAAGCCATTGTTTTCTGAAGCTCAGATCAACCCGGAGATGACATACACAGATACTTTTCTCTGGACCTCAGATTTCTTTCAGTAAAAGGATAAAATTATATCACCACTCAAAAATACCTTATAGCTCTAAGAGCTATATTATTTGTTCCTGAATGAGGAAAAGAGGCCAAGGTTGGCATACTGGGATATTTTTGCTTTGAGTAAGGTCTGTAAAGAGACCAATAAAGATGTGAAGGGCACTGAGATGTAGGAGGAGAAACAAGAAATCATAGTGTCCCTCAAACCAGAGAGAACAAGTAGATCTTGTCATGCATCAGGCATTTTAGAAGCTTTACATCCAACAAGCCTTAAAGAAGAAGATGTGATACATCAGCCTGAGTAATATTCAGAAGCCCCCCTTATCCACAGGGGATATGTTCCAAGATCCCTAGTGAATGTCTGATACTACGGATAGACTAAACTCTGTTTTACAATGTTTTTTCCTACATGAACATACCTATGATAAAGTTTAATTTATAAATTAGGCACAATTAGAGAGTAACAATAATAACTAATCATAAAATAGTCATAAAACATAACATAACATAAAGCGGTTATAACAATACACTGTGGCTATAACTTTTGCAGTTTTAGGTGCAATAGCAAAACTGCACAGATTTCCTGTTCCTTCTTTACAGTTTCATTAATTGAAATTCGTTCTTACCGTAGATCTTAACAACTTCAGCCAATGAGTTTGTTTCTTCTCTTATTAAGTCAAGAGTTTTCATCTTTTCACTTAAAGGAAGCACTTCACAGCATCTCTCTGGCATATTTGAATTACCAGCATCACTCCTGCTCTTTGGAATCATTATTAAGTAAAATAACTGTGACTTGAACATATACACTGAAAATCCCCAACATTCA